GCCAGCACCAAGAAGAAGCAAGTCTCTGCCTTGCAACTCCAATACCACCCTCAACCATTGATGGCAGAGAGATCTACAACCACCACCAGTGCAACTAGAAGTGATCGTAACAACTCCAGGAAGAAGTCAGCACCAGCGCCAGCGTCAGTGCCAATACCGCCACAACAACAACAACGGAATCCACCTTTGCAGCAGAAGCCGCACACACCCACAACTGGTGGGCCCAATAGAAGACCCAAGGCCATGTCAAACTTTGCCCACATCTACTACCACAACCACCGGGGAGAGCGAGTGCCACCCAATCCATTTAGGGACCACATTCACATCATCCCTCAAGCTAAATCTCATAGTAGCCCTGTGAGTCACCATTGGGGACAAATTTATGGGAACCAACACCCTAATAATCCAAAATACCATTTTGACTCAGCCTTGACCACCAATCTTCCTACCACCGTCAGGAACCATTCAAAATCCTACCTCGAAGCAGCCAGGCAGGGACTTAACTTAGGGACTAGCCATAGGTTTTCCCACCACCCGGAACATCCACTAGCCATCTACCCAACCTCCTATCTGGGTCTTGGAAGAAACCCTATTCGTGTAACAGTCGAAGAACCTTCCTTCACCAACAAGTTCAAGCTTCAAGCAGAAGCTAGTCTTCGAGGACAAAGACTGAATTGAGTAGAGGAGACTGTAACAAATGTTCTCTTCGCCGCACCATCAAGTGCCAATCAACGTGCCTACAACCACCACTCCAATGTCCAAGTGTGTCATGGGTGGGCTATGCATGTACTTTTGTATGAGGGGATTGTTAATGGCATTATTGTAATAATATAGTATAATTTCCCACATTTTTTATGTTTCTTATTGTCACTCCCCCAAAAGCTTAATATACTCTTGGAGGAGAGGTAGGTAGTCGAGTGAGCTCATAAGTGTGTAAATGTTAAGCACGAGATCCCCTCGACACTGTACTGTGTGCTTGTGCTTTCCACTGATTATTACAATACAAATAGCCTTTTGCTAATTCGTGTTCTATCTTGTTGCCTTTTTGTGTGTGTTTGCTTTGTTGCGTAGGCTTACTTGCCCCTTTTGAGTGTCGCACGGGGCCCAACGATTATCCCCGTGACAACTACGCAAATGATACCATGATACTAAGGGATGAAATGAACCACCTCAATGCCTAATTGAACCGGTGGTGATTAATTTGCATAATTTTATCCGGATCTAGAATCAAGCGCCTCTCTTCCATAGAAATCATTTTAGCATTGCCATCAGATACTAAAAGCTCATAAGAAAAACAAACTTTTCCCAAAGGTCAGCAATTTTGGCATTTTCCTCTTACTGGAACAAGTTGGGTCATCAACCAAAGTATGATTAGTTAACATGTAATGCTTGAAACAACAAAACTGCCCCCATGAACACCTAAATCCCACAATCACATGACAAATAAAACATTTAATTAATACCAACCTGAACCTTCAAAACTAGTTCAGCTACGGAGAAATGCAACAGTGGAAACACGTGATCCTTCCGATCCTCCAAACATGAATGTGGGGTATGACTGAACATGACTGAGGTAGCGGAATGCAGGGGGCTCTCTGCTTGCTTCTTTTTGGTCCTTTGGGGTTTCAGGGTCCTGGGAAACACCAATCCGTCTTTGGTTGAAGTTGTCCACCTCTTGCACCAATTCATCTTTTGTACTGTTACATGATGTGATCACCTGCAACCGATACCAGAATGAGGGTGATGAAATTAAAAGAAAAGAACAGTTGGCTTAGATGGGTGAATAAAGTCTGGGGGAATCAGAAACCAGACCTATGATCAAATCCTACAATCAATTTAACTAGCCAATTGTCATTCAAATTCAAAACCAAGAAAAAAAGGATATTTAGGTGATCTTTTTATATTGTTTAAAGCATCTGAAATTTATTTAGCTGAAAAAATGGTCTCTGAAATCAGTTCAAACACCACGATAATGTGATAAATCAGAATCTGCATTTAAAAGCAATTTTAAACAAGATAAGTGCTAACCAATATTCCACCAGGAGCAACCAACCGTGAGACTGAATCCCAATACATGATCCTGAAAATAAGAAAAAAAAAGTAACGATAATCCCAAATTTCCTTCAGCAATTGAAATCATGGAATTAGCTTTTTTTTTTTTTCAGCAGGGAACAATCAATTACTTCTAAGAAAGCCTCTAAACATGTTGGTCAACAATCACAAATTTAACAAATAAATGATTCATCAAGTAAGGCACTTCTTCACATGAAACTACCCAATTTCTGCTATGCTGATCAATGATGCAACTGATCCAAACCATCCACTAAATAGGTGACCAACCGGACTGGCTGCATTCAATTCCCCAATCCATATTAGCCCTTAGCCCTATACTCTCTCTATTTTTCTTGATAGTTTACTTGGAATTTTATTGATTTATGAAAAAGAATTTTTAACAAATAAATGTGTCAAGCACCACTGCTGAAGTGTTTAGCATACAAGGGTTGAGAATGGCTGAAACCCTCAATTACAAAGATATGTTGGTCCACATAGAAGCTTCCTGTAACCCAAGTACCCAACCAGGAAAATCGTTTTGCATTTTTGTGTACAAGCAATTCAGATGCCTCTATAATGCACAACAGGCACAATGAGGCCCATGATAAGACACATTCATTTGATCCAAAGTGCCTGTAGCAGGGTTGAAAAGGCAGTTGAGCTAGTAATGACATCTCAGCATGCATAGGAAAGTACATGGCAAAGCCAATTAAATAAATTCTCATGGGTTACTATTACCTTTTCAAAGGGCCATCAGGGTGCAATCCAATGGCATCTAAAGCACCTTTATCCATAACAAGTTGGAACTGCCTCTCCAATTTTGTCTCAAGAACATCATCAACCTACAAGAATTGCATCAAATGAGATATCAAATAAGGAAGAAACCAAGAAAAACATATACAATCAGAAACAGAGCTACAACATCAACTGTCAGTCATACTTTCTCTCAGTGACTAAATTAGCTACAGGTAAACAACTAAAAAGGATTCAAAAAATAACATAGATTTAGAACCAGCCAGAAACGTGAAGGAAAAAATATGGAGTCAGGAGCTTGAAAATGCATTGATTAGTGATCTATTGAATATAGCCAATTGATATAAAATGCCAAATATCATTGAATGATAGATTGGTGATCTACTGATTTTCGAATTTCCAGAAAATACATCGATGACAAAGGAAATAATCATGAAGACTGTTCATTATGAATGATATAAAAATTGTCCAATGACCACCTTTAGTAGAACAGCTGAAAATGTGAAGGAAAAAACATGAAGTCAGGAGCCTGAAGATACATTGACCAGTGATCTATTGAACATAACAAATTGATATCAAATGCCAAATATCTATTCAGTGATTGATTGGTGATCTTCGAATGCCAGAAAATACATTGACAATGAAGGAAATAATCATGTAGACTGCCCATTTTCAATGATGGCATAAAAAATTGGTCCAATGACCACCCTTAGTATTCTATATGCCTAGGAGCTTGGAAAATATGTCCAAATATCTAGCAGAGAACCTGGCCATCCACTGCTTAAAGAAAAAGTCAAAAGTGCAAAATTAGACTGAGCATAAGGCGCACCAGGTGCATGCCTTTTGAAAGAGGCTGTGCCTGGGCCTAGGCAAGGTGCATGCCTTGAAATGCACCTCACCTGTGCGCCTAGGCATGCCTTCAGAATGAAATCACATCAGCATCTTCTATGTCAAAATTGAGATTTTGTTTACCTTGAAGCATGATTCAAAGTGCAAATCATTACTATCAAAAGAAGGAATGAATCTTTATAATTTGTGAATTTGCTCTGGAAAATAAATTGGCCAGATCAGACTTGAGATTATTTTTTTTTTTCATTACACCAAGTCTTTTCTGAGACATTATAAACCACAAAAAGAATAGCTTCCATAGCTGATCTGCACCTTGATTCTGTTAGCATAAAGAAAAGAGTTTCAGGAGATACACACACATCAGTGAGTTTGTTAAGTAAAATAAATTATTCAAGTTACCAGTCTAAAAATAATTTACACGAGTTTGTTAGACGATCCTATTACAAGGTAAAACACCTATTAGAGTTAGAAGTAGAGTAAAATATTGCCAAGGCATAGATTCTCCAATAGCATCTGTGCCTCCACATATCTTTGATTATGCAAACTAGATCTGGAAAACAAACTGTAACCTCATTAACATTGTTTCATTGTCCATAACCATGCATGTATCTTTGAAATACTGCACTCCTCCTATATTGCTCCCCACCTCAGCCCAGCTCCTATTCCCAGACCGGATTCAGATTTTACTTTATTGTTTGATGGAAGCTGCAGATCAGTCACCAATCACCAAACAATGACTGGCATTGGGGGTTTATTTTAGACAGGTAAGGTATAGTCTTTTGGGCCTTCAGTGGACCGGCTGCTGTTGTGGATGCTTCAGAAGCTGAAGTTAGGGTGCTCCTGGCTGGTCTGAGGATAGCCAAATTGATAAAAGTCACTTCCCTATTGGCTAGACAGTGCATAAAGAGAAGGGCCCTTGGAGGCTGGCTCATCTCCTGAGAGTTGCCTTCCCCTTTTTCTTGCTCTTTTAGATGGATTCCAAGGGAGTTGAATTCTAAGGCCAATCTTTTAGCTAAATCAGGGGTGGTAGGGCTTCTTTATATAGTGCAAATACTATGCCTTTGTAACTATTGGGTGGCTTTTGGATTTTTTTTTGGGTGTGCTTCATTGTACCCCCCCCCCTTCCGCCCTGTTTTGAATGAACTAACTTACATTTTTAAATGGTTATTTAGATCCTACTCTGGATTCACATTGCTCAACGGTGAAGACCAACCCCTAAAAGTCATTTGTCTCAACGATAGAGTTGCATGTTTTAAAACTTAAAAAGGTATCAAATATATTGAATTTAATTCTTTATGCATTTAGTATACTGGATACTGGGCCCAAGAAAAAAGATGCTTAAAGCTTTACCTTTATTTCCTTCATAGTGCAACATAATATGAACAATAGAGCAGTCCTAGCCAGTACCCTCTTTAAAACAAAACATCCAACCATGAACATGTGCATATGTTCAGAATTTGTTTCTAACCTTTGATCTAAGTGTTACTTTGGTGAAAGCATGTTAATCACTTATGTCTAACCTCTAATGTATAAAATGGTGCACGCCAATCTCAAACTCGCAATAATTCCTCCTCATTTCTACAGCTATCTCTTTTCTTTTCTATTCTATTTTATATTATAATTCACGTTCATTTATCAAACAAATGCACCTACCTTTGCTGATCCCAAAAAACAGCACATGCCTTCATTGTCTACTGCATCACTCATAAGATTTAGTCTCAATTTTCACAATTTGTTTTAGTCAAAGTCCTGGCTATAATAACTGCAAAAGGGAACAATACTTGTACAAGAAAAGAACACAAACAGACCAAATAGTAAGATGTTTCAACAGAAAACTTTACAACTATACTCCAGAATCCAGATTAAGGTTGCCCTATGAACAACTTAACCTATTTAAATCTTTAATAATGTATTTTATTTATTGTTAACTTGTTTCAGGATATAGATGTATTTACAACTATACTCCAGAACCCAGATTGATGTATTTACAACCATACTTGAGAATCTAGATGTACTTAGCATATGGCATCAAAACTTTTAAAATATGTACAATGGTATGCTTTAACAAATTGCACTATAGAAAAATCTATACATGTTAGAAATTTAATTAAATTTAGCAAGACATAAGTCTTGAGAAGTGAAATTTAGCTTCAAAAAAGACAACCATTGGAGAAGAGAGAACTAATTTATAGTCTTAAAAGCGTACTCCATAGCCAATAGTGTATAAACCAAAAATCCTTTCACATCTATTTGTCAACTATAGCATGGCATAAGCATCAAACCCTGGGCTGTGAAAAAAAAAGCTCAAAAAGAGCATTGCTGGTTCTTGGAGATTCAGACATATGATGAAGCCAATAAAACTGGCTAGGGGATTCAGTATAACATATTTATGGACTCAGAGATCGGCCAATATCTTAGCTGATGCATTGGATAGGCAGGGGTTAACAGAAGCCAATTGTATTGGGAGTCATCTCCCAAAGAGGTTGAATGTAACAAATAAGCAAAGCTTGAAATCAAGGGATTAGATAGCTTGGGCTAGCCTAATATTGCAAAAGGGTGCTTGGCATAATTTTAATTGTACTCCATAGTCCATTCTTCTTCTTACAAAAAATGATTCTGGTAACTAATCAAAAAGGGGAAGAAAATAAGAACATGAACTAAGCACTATGAGTCTATGACATACCAGAAAGTTGATATTACTGAATCCATCACGATCAGCAAGTCTTCGAGCAAGATCAATTGCCCCTTCACTATAGTCAGTTCCGGTCAGGTTGGAGAACCTGGATGCAGAGTACATCACAATTTGAAAAAAAAAATGGGGAAAGTTTTTTCATTTTATGAAAATAGAAAAAAAAAATCCATTGGAAAGAAAAGAATGATGAAAGTATACAAGGAGTATACAACCTTAAAGAGTCAGACTAGTTTAAAGAATCTCATTAAAAAGGTTTTTGAATCTGGAGAACTTTAAGATGCAATCATGTCATTTTTCTTTCATTCTACTATTCAAAGGCCAAAGCTTCTCTGCCCTGCGACTGCGATGCTTTGAGGTCATAAGATAGGTAATTAAGGATGCAACTTGGGTAGGATTGGGTCAGGGAGGGTCAACCTAGGTCTAACCTAAGACCTGGATCATCAGGCCCAGCACAATCCAAGGTCAAAGCAAAGAGTTTACCAGCCCAACCCAGTCTGAGGTAAACCCAACATAGTCTGGGCTTTATACTCAAACTTGAGGGCCCAACCCAACGTCAAGCCTGAAGTTGCCAGCCCAGGCCCATCCTGAGGTAAACCTTAACAAACTCAAGCTGGTTCTAGGGTTGGGTCGGCTAGTTGGGTTGTTTACTTGTTTTTCACATATCATTTACTTGTAACATTTTACAACTAATAAGTCATATCCACAATCACACCATCCAAATGGTATACATTATACAATATATGTAATATAATGACATTGTATATAACGTATGTATAAGGCTGAACTCGGTTTGACCTCAACCCAAGCCCAACATGAGGAACACAAAAGCCTGATCTCTTAGGCCCAAGGCCCAAAGAAACCCAACCCAACCCATGCAAAAGCTCAGCTTAGGTTGGGCCTGCCCAACTTGCACTCCCAAAGATGAATGAGCTTTCCAATAGAATTAAATACAGTCGCAGATGGCTTAGATAAATTGGGTGTGCAGAAGCCAGTTTTTTTTTTCGATAAAACAAATTTTAGAAAATTATTCAAGTTCTGAACAGTTTAAAATGCAAACCAAACCAAGTCTAAAGCGGACTTGCCCGCCCACAAAAACGCCTATAATGAAAACAGTGTCTTCACTCATTCACTAAGTCCGCAGTGCAAAACTGTTGATAAATCTTTGTACTTTCAGCTTTCCATAGAACTTCGGCTTCTCATTTGTAGTTTGGAAGTGACCATATCCAAACATTGAAGAGGTATCAATAAATTTGAGTTTGATCTCCTCAAGGGCCAGACAAGATGTCTGATTCAATAGGGATTGGCAGAGTGTAACAACCCTCTTTTTAGGGGCAACACAGCATCCTTTAACCAGGATGTAGTCATCCTTCACTACACCATAGTGAGGGAATCCACCCATAGGAGTGATGTCCCTGTCAGTCCTATCATATTCAGTCATGGCTGAGTGAGACTCCTCTCCAGTCTTGCCAATCTTGTAAATCTTCTTGTTCTTTCAGTACAGTGGTGGTATCCGTTCTGACCAGCTCGGGCAACTGTGGGGAGGCCAGTTTTGTATAGTGGCAGTGGTAAAACTATGCCCATGTAATTTGTGGTTGGGATACATGTTCTTTTGGGGGCATTCGTCTTTTTGGATTTTGAGAGGGGCGAAAGTTGGTCAATCCCATTGACCAATTAAAGCCATGTTCTTTTTTCAGATTTATGTGGGGACCAGGCAAAGTTTATTTTCCATCTCCCAGGTGGGTAAATAACTTTCCCACCTGGGGGAAAGTTGCCAACACTTGGATGGGACAAAAATGCCCCTTTTAATAATGGATTTTTATGGCTAAAATGGTAATTGATTTATTTACCTGGGAAATAAAAGAACATGGGTAAATCCACTTCCCCGGGTTACCTGGTTAAGGAACTTACCAAAAAGCGAACGGAGCCTTTTTCTTTTTGTCTCTCTTGCATATCTACTCATGTACAGACCTCCTTTTGTTTAATGAAAGTTACTATTTATTGAGGGTAGTTTGGTCATTTTGTGGAATCAAGTCAGGTATTCAAAAGCAAAGGCAGCCAGATGCCATTTCTACACAATCAGGCACATGCTTTTTCTAATATTCAAGGAAAAGAAAAAGATGAACAATATTGATTTGGCATGCAGTATTATTTAGGATTATGGGAAGGTAAAAAGAGTAGGTAAAATGCAAAAAATACCCTTGCTTTGCAAGCTCTTGAAGAAGCAGACCATTGCCAGTTCCAATATCAAGTACACTCCAGCTAGACAAATATTTGCCAACCTGTTCAACTGACTCATGCTTGGCACCATCATCAGGACCCCGCAACCGACCTTCAGAAATGTCAATACACAGCTTTTTGGTCCAAGATGCAACAATATCCATGACTTCAGTTCCAAACCTAAAAGGCAAAGAACAGTCAGATAAATCAACTCCCAGGAGAATATCAGTCTTACAAAATGCCAAAACAAAATTGCTCCAAACTCCAAAGAATATAATCTCAAAAGTCAAGCTGCAGACAAAGTCACAACAGCACTCAGATGGAATATAATCTCAATCAGTAAACAACTAAGGCAGATTTCTGTATGGTACAACCGTACAATATGAGCTATAGTTGGGTAATGATCTACTGAGTTTTCATACCTGACTAGTGTTTTCACCTTGTATGAGTTCCCAAATAAATATTCTTACAGAATACAGACTATCAGCCATGTCATGTTCATAGATTCACAAATCTTGAACTACTATAAAATGGACATATTAGTTCTTTCGACTATAGTTACAAAGAATAGGGGAGAAAGCAAAACAACACAATGAGCATGTAGGAACATGCACAGAAATATTTCCAACTATCATGATATAACTACCAGGGTCTTTGCAGTTCTGCCATCTTGGCCAGCAAGGTTAAGGCCATGCATGGTTTTAAAGTCTTCACTTCAGATTTTCTACACAACTTTAGATGGAAATGACCCCTGATCAACAATAGAAAGGGGGGGAAAACTTACCACAAAGATGCCTTGGCTTGTGTGGTACAGAATCTTATCAAATCAGTTGGTCAGCCACAGTGGCAGAGACAGGAATTTTATTTATTTAATTTTCTTTTTTTTGGGGGGGGTGGGGGCAAAGTAAACAAGAAAATGAAATAGGGAGATCAAAGAGGTAGGGCTTTGAAAGATATGGGGCGGGAAAGTTTGGGTCTATTACAGATTTTTTTAAAGAAAAAATAAACTTTTTTTTTTTAATTTTGGTAATTGGAGGAGCGTTAGAGAGTGATTTTAACATTTCAGTTCAAGTTTTGGGGGGCCAAGGACCCACTTTATTACCTTTTCTAACCATGCCTCCACTTACTAACTAGGTTTTAACAAAAAGTTTGGGGGGGGGGGGGCAAGGACCCCCCACCAATATGCTTGGCTCCATGCTTCCACCCTCTCCTATTTATAGACAAAAGAACTGCCCCATCAGTTAGTAAGAAAAACAATTTTGATGCTAAGGATTCCTTAGTTTTATGAGATCATAGAAGAAAACTGGTGGCTATGTGCTTTGGTGGCAGATTGAGCCCTCCTTCCAGATTTTAAAGATTTGAATGGAGAGGATTTTGGAGATATTTTTTTATCTTCTTTGGAAGCTACCAGTGGGGAATTAGAATCATAATTCATATGATTTTTTTTTCTTTTTTGGCTTGGACGTACTGATTAGGTGAAAACTCTTCACCAGCAGGCTGTAATCCTTAATCTTTTATTTTCGAAGAAACTCCTTTTGCATTTACTATTAAAAAAAAATCCTGCAACTCAACTACTAGCATCATTCATAAAGACAATGAAAATTACTGAACTAGCCTCATTCTCAACATTATGACATGTCAAGGACTAAAAAAATGCATCATAAGAAAGAATCAGAATTATCATAGCAAATAATGGACATAAAATTAAATATGAAATCAAAACTGGTACTAGATGGTCAGGGTTTTCAAACTAATCATACTTGACAAACCACTGGCTTATTTGGGCACTAGAAATTACGACTGGATTGATGAGGTACCAAAAGAACCTAAGATAATTACCATTAAAAAAAATAAGCTAATGAGACGGAGCATCTTCATCGTATATGAAAAGGCAAATGTAATGCAAAAAAAAAGATGATAACATCATCTATAGTTGTTCTCTTTCTGATAAGCATATGTAATGCTTCAAAAATACAATAAGTAGACCTATCAAAAAATGTAATAAGTAGAAAGAAGAGAAGGGGGAAACCCACAAAAAATGAGAAGAAAAATATGCATATTAGAGAGTGAGAGAAATGTTTCACAGACATGAATAAGATACAATAAAATATAAAAATCTGTGACTATGAAAAGGAAGGGAAAACACTACAAATTGAAGATTCCCATAATGGGGCTAGGAGCAGCACTTACCAAATTTCACCGGAATGGCCATGCTCATGAAAATTTGCCAATTCATCTGCATATGTGGCATCCCAATAGCTCTGCAAACCCAACATCGAAGGCTCTACTTCAGCATCTGGGTCTTCCTTGTCAGAACTGCTTCCAAGTATATTTTTTTCAAGATATTACAAATCGATTTGCAGTTAGAACGTGGATATATGTAAAATTGTTCTCTTTATGCATTAAACAGCTAAAATCCATAGTATAATCAAGTTACTCTACTTCTCACTTCTCAGAGTTTTAACAATTTGCAACTCCTTTTGAATCAGATCCTACTTCAAAAACTCCATATAATCTTTTATCTTTACAACCTTCCCCCTCCCCGACAAGATATATCAAGGGAAAACAGAGCCAGGAAACAAAATCATCAATTATTTAAATCACAGGATGGCATTGGAATACATAATTCATCTGCAGACAGAACCTCAAATGAAAAACCTTGGTAATCTAATTTGTGCTAGCATATTTATCTTTCTTAAATTCCAGTAAAACCTTAGAGCGAACAAAGATAAAGAATCAACAGAGAGAAGTAATAAATAGATAAATATAAGTAACAAAGAACTACTGACCTGTAATCAGATGCAGCTCGGAAGGTGCCGGTGGAGAGCGCATCAGAGGCGTCGGCGTGTCGCTGCTCGTCGTCCAGAGTGCTTCCGTACTCGCTCTTTATAGACCAAGAATCCGCAGCGATAGAGCGATCGTCGTCGGAAATGAGGTCGGAGGTGCTTGGAGCTCTCGTCTGAGAAAGCTCCGAATCTTCTGGTGGCCATCGAATTCCGGCCATGGTCGAGAACCGAAAGTGAGAAGACGCAGAAACAGAGAAACCCTAGGAGATTAAAACAGAGAACCAGAAAAAAACCCTAGAAGAAGAAGAAGCAACAGAGAGCATTTGAGGAAGGAATGTCAGCTAAGCAGGGGACAATGGTGGAAAGGTCAAAAACATGCGCGGTTGTAGGATTGGGGTTGGTCATGGACTTGTCGTCTCGTCGTCTGGTTTTCTCGTTTCTTCTGAAGGGAGTTTTTTAGGGAACGGGCGCGTGTTCTCAACGCACACAAAGCATCACTGTGATGACATCTTCGTGACTTCGTCAGTTCGTTGTGGGGGGCCGCTACGCTCGATTACAAAATCACGGTTAATTATGTGCGTTATGGCCACGTCAAGTAGCATTGGCGTTTCCTTTCTCTCAAAATTTGACTGTTTTGAGTGGACTATAGGATATGAACGTTAGAACTTCCAAAGTGAATAATAATTTCATTTTAATAAAAATTATATACACACATTATATATTATATAACTACTAAGTGTGCATATGACAACTTTTTATGATTATGATAATGATGATATTAAATAATATATTTTGGAAATTTTTGTAGTTTTTTATATTTATATATCTACAAAAATTATTTTTATTTGTCACATACTTATTTTTGTTTATTATTATGAATATATGATATTAGGGATGTACTTAAGGCTGCATTTAGAAACAATGCAAATGGAGTGTAAATCCTAATTCACGGTAAATTTTCACTATGGTTCACTTTTGCTTGTGTTTGGCAACATTACATTTATGTATTGACAAATGACAGACCAATGCATATTTACATTGATAAAAAAGAAGTAAATTTACATTCAAATAGGCTTGTGATAAAAAAATGACAGACCAATGCATATGTATTGACAAATGACAGACCAATGCATATTTTCATCTTTTCTCTTTCATTTTTATTATTATTTAATTTATCTAGGGTTGGCACATTTTTCCCAAAGTCTGCATTTGGTTACAGTGCAATTTTATTTGCACTAATACAAATGCATGGGAGTGCAAATGAAAAAAATGCACATTCTTGTTTAGTTTTGTTTTGGGTTTTACATTATTCTACTTCATATCTTAGTTTACTTCATTTATACTACAATCAATAAAATAAACTAAAATTTGAAACAAAAAAATAGATTAGAATTTACATTCAAATCATTCGCACTGCCATGATTTTGCATCAGTGCAAATTTATTTGCATTGCAACCAAACACAGCCAAAAGGTTAAATTATTGTTGTCTCATCACCAAATAGGAAAACAACTATATTTTTTTTGTTGGTTTTAGATTTGTAATTTATTTCTTTCTTCAATAAAAATAATTATTCTTTGTCACATTTATTTTTCTTTAATATGGTTAATTAATATAGACTTCAATGAAAGATTGGTAGTCAATACACTAAATATAGGACTTAATAAGTAGAATTGAATGATGATAATATAGTAGTTCAAATTACATTTTGCAGCGTAGACCAAATTAAAAAATAATGGTATTTTAGTAAAGATAATGATTAAAAGAATGTTAATGTGTATTAATGACTTAAATACAAAATTTAATGAAAGGAATTTGAATGAGGAAAAAAGTGGTTGTTCAAATTACATTTCTATCCTTAAAATTATAGAGGGACTAAAATAAAAATTAGGGTATTTTAGTCAAATAAAAACTCCACACTATCATTCACAATTTTAGTAGTAGTATAGATTATATAAAGTTTTAATTGATAAATTTAATATTTTTATATTTATATGCATTTATTATACATGTATAAATTATTATATTTATATGTATAAATTATACACACATTATATGCGATTATTATACATTCATTTCTTATATTTATATGTATAAATTATACACACATTATATGCAATTATTATGCATTCATTTATTATATTTATATGCATTTNTTATATTTATATGTATAAATTATACACACATTATATGCAATTATTATGCATTCATTTATTATATTTATATGCATTTATTATACATGTATAAATTAAAAATAATTATTTTTTAAACTTTCTTTTATTTTTTTCCATTTTAAACACAACAATAATATAGATGTAAATTGAATTCAAATCTATACCCTATTTTTTATTGAATTTGAATAAAAGGTGATGATTAAATTGGATGATGCATTTGGATTCGTTTCCCTTTATAGCGTTGATCATTTAAGAAAGTAACAACTCATTGTAGCGGCACATCGAGAACATCTATCATACTTGTATGTTGAAATTCATGGGGATTGGGAAGTTCTTAATGCACGGTGGGATGTGCTTTGACATGTGAGGTTGGTGTGAGGAATGCCATGTGAAAAGTAGATCATGTGAGGTTGGTGTGAGGAATGCCATGTGAAAAGTAGATCTGGATTTCAAACTTCCATACCAGGAAAAAAACAGAACTATAAATATTGGCGGGATACCCTTTATTTTTATGTAAAAGTAATAGGTTCGTAATTACTAAGGCTCCATTTGTTTGCATTGTGAATTTCATGTGCAATAGTATAAATGGCAGGAGTGCAAATGAGTTGAGTGTAAAATTCTGGTTTACTTTTGAAAGAAATTAATGGAGGTATGAGGAGGTTTATTTTTATTATTATTTTTTATAGCTCAAAAACATGTGGTTTATTTGTTTGAGAGTTAAGAAGAAAGATGATGTATCCCAACTTTCTATGAGATGGTGCAAATTTTACATCAATTTTTGGGATGCAAAATTGGGATTGCCAATAAGTGTAATTGAGACGAAAAGTACTAGCTAAGAGTGTAAATTATAGTTACAAAAATAGATGCAAAATTGAACCAGGTGCAAAATTTGTTTCTGATTCAGATTTGTAGTGCAAACAAACAAAGCTTAAGGAAAACTTATTATCTATTTCTATTACCCATTAATAAAAATGAGAATGGTTCATTGTTTATTCTCAAAAGACCCTGATTTGATATTTTCGCTTTTACCCATATTATCAAAAGAAAATTTCATTTTTTATCCTTTATTAAAACATCAAAACACCTGAGAAAAAAGTGGATTTATACGTGTTAAAATGGCAGCAAAATTGGTGAACATGAGAGCTACGATTTTTTCTTTTGGACACCTGTTGCAAATGAAACACAAAGTGTTCTATTTAAGTTCGATGTTCGATGATTATGCCAAGTCAATCGGTTTTATTTCTTTCTCATCAAATCGGTTTTGTCGAAAGGGATAATTGAACAATTGCCGGTTAGGTAGGACAAATAAGATAACATTAACATGGTTCTGACATTCCAACAATATTAATCTAGCAAGTAAAGTACTTCTACTTAATGTATTTTTAATTTTAAATATAATTTTTCTCTAAAAATAAAAGATGTTGTAGAACCCATCGGATTAAACTTAGTTATGCATGTTCAAATTTCAATGAAGTCATTCGTGTTTTTATTTTCTTCAACAAGTCAAGTTTGAATGCAAGACATTTTCCTTTAGTTCTGATAACATTCTTTTTACAGGACAAACTCTATATATTAAGTAATGAGTTTGTTCAATTTACTAACTTGAAAAATCTAGATGTGGTGTAGATTGGGTGGTTACTAAAACATACTCCATGTGTTTGGTTGATTGCTCCATAGACATTTTGCCATTGATTATCAAAATTAGCTTAAGATATCTAAGAGTTATATGAACTTATGGTTTCCTAAGCCCTAAGTAGCTAAATCATGGATGATCATTTATCCTTCACATTTGATGCATTGAGATAACTCCTTCCATTCAAGTTTTTATCCAAAGGATCCCCTATGATGAATCCATTATTCCAAGGAAAATGAGAGCATTTCTCATGGGTTAATCACTTATAGTCCAACAAATCCAAAAAGACAACAATGTGGCAAAATGAAATTATTTACTTCAAAGATCTAGCCCCAAATATCAATCCTCCAAGTTTTGGAATAATCTACTTTTGTTAACTAATTGGCACCTGACAATTTCCATCCACTGAAATATCATAAAAATAGAACTTTACAAGTTTTTTTAACATATTTCAATATCCTAGGTGGCCCATGTTTTACATGTCTAACATTCAAATGATGAGTTTTATTGATTTATTTTTGCTCTATGGGGCTACACAATGGAGGGTAGCCCGTTGTGATTGTTACACGTGACTTACCTATGAAGCCAATTGTGGTTATTACTCAAAGGATGATGGTATAAAACTTAGGGAAATTTCACAATAAGTACCTTGTACTTTAAGCCTAGTGACAATCTAATACCCAAACTTTAAAACGCAACAATCTAATAGCTGAACTTTCAATTGTGACAATCCAGTACCTGGCTTTAATTCACCGTTAGTCATAATGCAAAAAATACATAACTACCTACCTGCGGTTTCGACCAACGTATAGATTATTTTTCAAAATGATGAAAATGACCCCAATTATAACATCCTTTGTCTGCAAGTGGGAACCTTTGTGACCTGAAGTTCTGAAGAAACTAGTTCCTCCCGCCAGTGATGTAAAGCGGAAGACGACGTCAAAAAAGTTGAAATCGATGAGTCACACACCAGACAGTGACGTACGAATATCTTCTCCGTGTATTTTGAAAGAAATTATCGGAACGAATCGCATCTGCTTCTAGTATCCCTTGTTTTTAACTCAACCATTGTTGGAGAAGACGACCTCTTGTTGCCGGCGCCGGAGGAGACAACCAGGGTATGTTTTTGATTGCTATTTTCTATCATTTTATATGCTTTTCTACTATCATTATATTACATCGATTTTTGGTTGATTTTGATGCAAAAATTTTTAGGGTTTTGATTTTTTTTGGCATTTTTTATTCCAATGCCATTAGCATTAGGTAATGGCTCAGGCAAAGTCAACCAAACGTACCCGACATTACACAGTGACTTGAACAATTAAGTTGTATTTTAAGTATTTAACATGGTTAATTTAACATGATTTGAGGTACCATCGCTCTGTTTCTCTTGCCCCCCTCATAGTCCAATTATCATCCAATCATGTTTTGGCCCATTTTGCTTCATGTCCTTCTACTATGGCTGCCATGGTGACAAAGGCAGCAGCAGCAGCGGCAACGTCGATGTTGTCTTTGACAAAGCATGACTATCGGGACAAGTGTGGGAACCTCAGCATCCCTTATCCGTTCGGCATAGGAAATGATCCCAACTGTTTCTGAAATGGAGATTTTTAGTTCATAAAGAAAAATGAAAAACTTCGAGTAGTTGAATAACTCAACTCTTGTGCTTCC